TCAGAATTAATCAGTAAATCAGTTGGTTCTATGAAACATATCAGATTTCAAGATAAATTACCTGAATAATTTAATAATGTACAATAACCTATTCCCATTTTTTAATGATCTTGGAGAATTTGATTGCAGGGAACACTTATTTAATAAAACTTACTTGATAGTCCAGAGAGCCACCAAATAAAAACCCACCATCACTGCCACTAAATAATAATCCATTGAATCCCACAGGACTCTCTCAGTAGTATCTGGTATACTTACACTTTGCTCGTTTGATTTCTACCTTTGATGCAGTAGGCTACACTAACTGCATTAGCAACATGGGGATATCATAGCATCAAAGCATCTCTGCTCAAACACTATGCTAGCAGCCATTCAACACTGAGAAAATTAAAATAAAAACTACATAATAGCTATTTTGTCCACAGTATAGCTAGTGACCAAATCCTAGTCTTTTACCCCATTGCTATAGAAATTTCCATGGCTGCTCCACTGGCAACAGAACCACTGTAGTTCCCAGGGGGTTCCTTGTCCACCAGAAGACTGGGCGTAGGATGGAAGATGGGGCAAAAGCAGGTCCATGAGAAAGGGTGAAGTTATATGTTACATTTGGACCATGTTAAATCTGTGGAATATTAAGCAGTGTTGAAGTTAGAATGTGCTATTAGCAGTCGCACATTAAGGGTTAATACCATTTCTTTGTTGCACAGACCTGACTTGCAACTCTCAGAGAGCTGATGGCCAGGGTATGGCCAGGAGCCAGAACACCTAGGCCACGTCCACATGAGTGTGACTGTGCAGCATGTGGCACTGCAGACAAATCTGTAGTGCCACATACTGTACATTCAGCTGTTCTCTGTACTGCAAAGGAGCAGCACGGGGGTATTTTTGACTCCTGGATATCCAGGGGTCAAAAAAATCTGTACAAAAAAAAAGCAGAGTGGCGCACGTGGGGGCAGTGTGTGCTGCTCAAAACTGGAGCCTGGCCAGCTGGAGCCACACTCTAGCTGCCGTCCAGGCTCTAAGCAGCAGGATTGCCACTGCTGCAGCTCTGGGGGCCCCCCAGGACCCTAGGTAAGGCTCCGAGGGGAGGCCACCCTAGTGCTGGTCCCAGCCTCCTCTACCCCCAAGATAACCTGCTGCATGCCAGTGGGCACATGGCACAGGAGTTCCATGTGGACAACTAGTGGTGGCACAAGGTGGTCCCCGGGGAACCAAACATCCATGCTTGTGTGGACGTGGCCCTGGGTTCTATCTCTGCTCTAGATGGGAGACCTGGGGGTGGTGCATCCTAGGATGCTGGAGGACAGCAAATTACTCATTTTATAACCATAGAGCAGACTGAAGTTACCGTAACATAATCAAGGTAGCACAGCCCAGAGTTAACCCTCACCTGGAGTGGCATAACTTTAAGATGCTCAGATGACACTTAGGATGGGTTAATGAGCTTTAACATATGGATGCTTCCTATTTGACATGTCCTTTGTATGGTCTAAGTGTGATGTGTAACTTCAGTCCAAGTCTAGAAGATTTACTGCTACATGGATTATTCCATCTTCCTGTCCCCCTTTCCCATAGCTGGGTCCATCTGAAAGTCAATGGACTACTGCTTATAGATTACAGAGATGTTTCTCAGGTGCTCTGCTGTGTAATACGCATGAGTAACTTCCTTCCATGTGCACATTTTATGAACTTTGGCTAGCCTACCCTATCTTAGGCTGGCTGCTGCCTTTGGCTCTAAATGCCAAGATATATGTGAAATCTCCACAGCCAAAGTATCAGATTGCTCAGATGAAATCCCACATTAAAATCCTGGAAACTTTTTCAGTTTTATCATAAAGAAACCACAGGGATATAGAAATGGTCAGACTGGACTTTCAAGGCCTGTGTTGCCTTGAATCCAGTCTTTGATAGCAGTCAATTCCAGAAGCTTTAAATAAAAGAGTAAGAAAATTAACTGTGGGCAAGTGTATAAAATATAAAAACATTATAAATATATTTGAAACTTTGTGGACTATGCCTTTAAGAGTTACAGGACTTATCAGCTCTAGCACAGAAACATAATTACAGAAATTACACACACACTTGTATTCTAGCACTATAGTTACAAGACTATGGCTCAATAATGTCAATTTATCACAGTATTACTTATACTGCTACCACGTATAAATATAGTCATGAAAAACATCTGTAAGACACTTATAAGCAATTTGTCAAAATACTTTAAAGCATATGTATAATAAATGAAGAACACATGGTTCATATGAAACAAATGAAACTAGAGCTATGCAGAATGGCTTGCCAGAGATTTGAACAGCTGTGGGCATCACCTCTCCTTCTGTCCAGCTTTAAAAGGCATTGTTTCTCTTTAGGTTGACAGGTGAGGCTTACAGTACCCTTGGTTGTTCTGAAAGACAGCTTCCCAAAAATACCTCTCCAGGAACCCTCTTCCCCTCCCTGAATACTGATATGACTTCTATTTGAGATATCTGGGATTTTCTGCCTGTCCACAAAGGACCACTTTTAATTTACAAGTTGTATCAAACACAGCACAATGAAAAAAAATCACAAAACCCAACCACTTACTGTAATGTACTCGTGGAATCATAGGATTGTGAAGGACCTCAAGGGTCACCTGGTCCAACCCCCTGCACAAATACAGGAATGCATCACACACTGTGCGATATGCATGTATCACAGTATCGAGTTCTGTACTGTACAGTCCTGTATGCTACATTTCAGAAGGAAAGTCTAGTTAATTTACATTGGTATATAAATGCAGATCATACAAATACATATCTTTCTGATGTACCTGAGGATCATCTGTGTTAGAGCTGCACAGCTTGTCCTCTGACCAAGACAGCAAACTTTTCCCTAATGAAATCATGCACTGGAAACTCTGAGAAAGGGACCAACCTAATGACGTTTCCTTACCGTGTGTTGAGTTCAGGCCATTTTCCGCAGGCAGGAAGTAGTTAGGCCATAGCTGGGCAATGTTTTTGGTTCATAAAAGAACATTTATTTTTCATTACATAACAATTATCATTGCAGAACTATGATGATGTCAGTAAAACACTGCAACTTCCAAGTAAAATCAAGATATATGGCTTGATTATGGCCCTATGTTTCTCCTATTCTGTCAGTCTATGCTTTCTTGCTCTAGTGAGAGTTTTCTTATTCTCCCATTCCCATTTCAATCTACTTTTGGTAATGCAGCCACAGGAAAGAGGACATGCAGTTTTTTCATCAGTTTCCTCTACAACGGCGGCAAACTTATTTATTTCACTGTGGAAACAACAAAGTTTTATTTTATGTACTAGAATTATAAAATATATTACTATAGATAGCTTGGGTATTTCTGACGAAGATACCATACAACACTGTATACAGTTCATTTGAAAGAATAATATACATTATATTACTTAAATCAATCTACCATACATTATCATATGTAATAAATTTAAAACTTTATTGTATCAGTTTTACAAAAGTAGTAGGAATGTGAGATATAATTTTTCATCACCAAGCATGTGTAACCACCAATCACATTTAGAAAAACAACCCACTGATCACAAGTTAGCTTAAATAGCCCCAAGTGTCCCCGAAGAGCTACTGTGTGCTGTGTAAAAGCTGAATAATCCTCAGAGTGTCAGAGGGTGTCTCTTCAGCTGTTCGGGATCATGAGATGATATCCTAGCACTCATAAAACAGAAGATTCAAAACACAAGAACATACATTTAGGTAAAGATCATTGTGACAGTACTGGAAGTAATCCACAAGAATTGTCAACACCCTTGAGGCCAAACTAATTCAACTGTGTCAAGGAATTGTTGCTTTTACTCAAAACCAAACACAAAGACTACAGCAAATTCACACTGAAGTATACACGCTAGGAATATGAAAATTTTACATCACGTTTGGCTCCTTTTAATCTTTTACAAGATAACTTCTCATCTTTTACAAGATAAGAAAGAGAATTTGTTCAGAGCACACTTTTAATTTAAATACATACTGAATACAGTATTTATGGTATGTAACACCAGAACTGCAGCTGGTGCAAAGTATTGCTGTTCTTTATTGTCTAGTTATTTGAACAAAATAGTTTACCACATTAATGAAGGCACATTGCAAGGAGAAGAATCATTTCAATATTTTTTAAAATGATGCTTTCTATTTAATTCATTGTAATAGGGGAATTTACTTTGGCCCCTGAACTTAGAAAAAAACCATTTTGTTTTCCAAGACCTAATAATATTTGTCCCAAGTATTTACATGGTAGTTTCTTCCCATTCAAGTTCCACATCACCTGCAACAGAAACAAACAATTTTTAAATGATGCTGCTTTTTAATGAATGTTACCCAATTATGGATACTAGTTAATAAATACATATTTTAAAGATCTTTCATGGGAAAACAATTTATAACTTGAGCAAAGACTGCTACCATTATATATGTTAAAGGTCAGCAGAAAGTTAGAACGTTGGGCTTATCCAAGCACTCATCAGAAATGGTCGTTAGTATTGAGAAATCAATGCACCTTCTAGGAAAAAAATAACTTTGTAGTGCAATCTGGATCTATTTACCTTCCATGGCATCCAAAGAGTCCATCTTTTGCAATGCTGAATAATTTACAAAACATATGGGCTGACTGCTTCCTCTGCTTGTCAATAGGTCCAAAACACACTGATGCAAAAAAATATATTGTGCCTGCAAGTTGTAAAAGATAAAGGTAACTCATATGGATTATTAGAAGAAAAATGTTTCAAATAGCTAAATAAGTTATTTTATATAAAAACAAGCATTCAACTGTTCTCAAGATACTTGGATGTTGGTGTACTATAGCACTTGATCCCAATACTTTAAAAATGAAGTCACATGTATACAACCTAACTTTAAGAATTAAACTGAGGAAAGGCTGATTTCAAGGCATGTTAATTCTTATGTTCAGATAAATAAATACAAATTACAGTATACATTACTGAACACAACTGCACCATATTTTCCATCATTTTATTCAGACTGAAGAAGCTAACACACAAACACTCAATGAAAATGTCCTTTCTACTAGCATAGTGAAAGCCAGCAGGGTGCAGTCAAATGCAAAAATTCAACTAAATCCACATACACTTGATGTATGAAGCATTGGTAATAGAAATCAAAAACTTCTAATCATAAGTGCCAGTTCAGTGCTGTTATAAAGATCTTTTAAATGAAGCTTCAGTGCACAGAGTTAGAGACACAAGTTAATATAATTACATTATTGGTGAACAAAAGTAATTTTAGGTAACAGCTGCTGTACGATAAAGGAAAAAAAACAAAAAGAAATAATATTATATGGAACAGAACAAACCACTTCTTTACACAGGGAAAAAGAAGGGATTCAGTAAAAGCTAGAAAATCTAAATATTCAAAAAACATATTTAGTTGCAGAGAATGTCAGTAAGAAATTAAAATGGATTTTCTGAGATTTGGTGTAATCCAGTTAAAGTTCTTAATAATACTTCTGTGTAATTTTTGCTTGATATTATATTTCATAATAACCATAAGCATTCAAATTATTTCTAAAACATAATCAGATTTCAAATAGGTTGAGAGGTCATCAACAGTTCTTAAGTCCCAAATAACTGAAAGATAAACTTCCATAGATAATGCAGTACACAGTAGCAATGCACTCTTTTTGCAATACAGTATCAATTTAAATGCTTGTTAATGTAATAGTGTGCAATTGCTGCAAAGCAGCTCTTATAGTCTTCCTAGGAAGATATCTTAATCTGTAATGAAATCATCATGAAGATATGAGCTTCAAAAGGCTGAAATTACTACAACATATATTGCTTAAATATTTTTTACTATTAAGATGGACCACAAAAGCTGGAAGGCCTGTTGTACCACTACAGCTGCCACTTACATCCCCTGACAAATAGAATACAATCTTTCTTAACTCTTTATTTGTGAGGAAAAAAGGGAAGAAAAGCCAAGGACTTTCCCCTAAACATAACTGATGACATTCTTAGTTTCACTTTGAACTAGACTGTGCATGTGTACAGCTCAAAGTAGGGGAATGCGGGTAGCTGCAATGCCACAAGAGGAGCCTCAAGACGCATTGTTCCTCAGAGACACATAATTGATACCTTGATTTTGCTGGTCCAGGAAGGAAGAAAGATCTTTATTACAATACTTTTTGAGTACAGTTTACCACTCCCCAACCAGTTCTGTTGACCAGGACATGATGCTGGGTAACAAGGAGATTTGAGTTATGACTCCACCTACTCTGAATCACTCCCATCCCCACATTCCCCAGAACCAGTGCATCTCACACAGCCCCTGCACTATCCTAGTGTCAGGTTCGACCTAGAAACCACTATACAAAGCCCAAGCAAAAGTCTCTGTTATGTAACTAATGCCCATCTGCAATGATAAGGAGGAGACAGTCTTAGATAAAGGAGGCTTGAAAACAAAGGCAGAATCAGAGGACTAGGGCAAAGAGCTGATTTAAATATTAAGATTCACACCCCTAGGTGGGGAGAAAGTATGCTAATGAAACATACATGTATGGAAATGAGATACATAGCTAAAACACAGGTATAGAGACATGCTCAGTAAAGAACTCCTTGCGTCACTCCCTTATAACCAATTAGCAAACAAGAATGCTTATGAAGGTCCAATACTCCTGTATAAAAGATGCTTAGAATTAAGAATCTGTGTGCTTGTTACGTGAAATGATTCCGCTTGCACCTTCTATTGCTAGCAATAAATCTTCTTTATACTTTCACCCCTGGTATCTTTATTGGCTTTTGCATACCGGGCACGATCCCAGACTTGAGCTGGGGCTCAACAGTTTTTGGCACCCCAGATGGGACTGCCTTAGATAGCTTTGCCCGGACTAACTGATGACCAGACACAGCTCTTCCTTATCAAATATCAGGCGCGCCCCAGGATCTCTTTTCCCGGTGAGACTTGTGTTTCAGGGGGAGCTGGATTGCTGAGTAGCCTAACGGTGCACGGTGCAAAGCCATAGAGTGAAAGTACCAGTAACAGGCACCTGGGTGAGAGGGTAAAAAGGGCATAAGGCCTACCGTCAGCACGCCTGCCTGGGATTATCTCTGTAAGTATTCTGTCTGGCCCGAGTCCAAGACCAGTGATTTTTCCCCTGTGAGGACGAGGACTAAGAACAGATCCCTGGATCCCAGGTAAGTCGGACGGTCAGGACCGGGAAGGCAGCCCTGAGATGGGTACTATTAACAGTAAGGTTAGGAAATGTACCCCCCTCTCTTGTGCATTGGGACATTGGGCAGAGTTTGGTGGAGATCCTATGACTAGGAAGAAAGCTAAATTCTTCTGTGAAACTGCATGGCCACGCTATCAGCTAGATGATCAAGAACATTGGCCTCCGGAGGGAAGTGTTAATTATAATACTATCTTACAATTGATTTTGTTCTGCCGGCAGAATGGTAAATGGGAGGAATTGATGTATGCACAAGCGTTTATGTCTCTTTGTAGAAATAGAAAGGTTTTGGAGGAATGTGGACTGGGGGAGGGAGTTGGGGTCTGTGAGATGACTTTGACAGGACCAACTATAAATCCTGTCCTGGACTGTCCGGAGCCGGAGGCTCTTCCCCCTCTGCTGCCTTTACCGTATTCTCTTCCTCTTCCTCCTCCTCCTCCTGATACAGCTGATTCCTTGCTGGCATCTGCTCTTCCTGCTTCTTCCCCCCCGAGGCGGAGACTGAAAATACTCCCCGACCTAGGAATCTGGAACAGCACCAACCCTGGCTGCCCGGTGCTTGGCAATCTCCAGATTCCCCAACTTCTCCTGATATAACCCCGGGAGGTGGGTGGAGAGTACAGTTAAGAGCAGACTCCGGGGTTAAGGGAAAACATCACAGGGAATCTGATCCTGGCCGTGGGAAGGAAAATGGGGTATTTCCCCTAAGAGAACAAGTGGTACCTGGGCCTCTAGAAGATGATGGGGAGCCAACCTACCGTCGAACCTTTGTGCACATTCCTTCACTACATCAGATTTGTATAATTGGCGGAACAATACCCCCAGCTTGAGAGAAGGTACTGAAAAGGTACATAACCTGTTTAAAATGATTTTCAAAACCCATAACCCAACCTGGGCAGATGTTCAGTCTCTTTTAGATATCCTGTTGACACCAGAGGAGAGGAGAATGGTAGTGGGCAAAGCCCATGAGTACGTGGAAAAGGAGATTACTGCAGGGAACTTGCAAGGAAATAGGGACAATCATGTCCCCACCCAGGAGCCAGATTGGAAACCAGACCAAGATATGACCTCTATCCGTGCCTATCGAGAATATATCCTCCAAGGATTGAGAGATGCTGTGAAAAAACCCCAGAATCTCAGTAAGGTGTATGAGGTCCGACAGGAGACAAATGAGACCCCGAGTGCTTTCTTGGAAAGAATTTACACTACTTTCAGACAATACACTCGTGAGAACCCGGAGGATACATCAAACGCTCGCATGGTAAATATGATTTTTATAGGTCAGAGTGCACCGGACATTAGAAAGAAATTGCAGAAGACAGACGGAGCAACAGGTATGCCTATTTCCCAACTAGTAGATATTGCTTACCAAGTATTTACTAACCGAGAAAGTGTTCAGGAAAAGCAACAGGACAAAAAAAGAGGAGAGAAAGATAAAAATGCAGGCAGCCCTACTGGCAGCTGCAATCACGGGAAAACCTAGAAATGAGGGATCCTGGAGACAGCCTCAGAGACGGGATCCATTAGAGAAAGATCAGTGTGCCTATTGCAAACAAAAAGGACATTGGAGGCGGGAATGCCCCCGTCAGAAAGTTGGGGAAGGTGAAAAGAAAAAAGAGGAGAGCAGTGGACTGTTTGCTTTTGGAAGGGATTCAGATTGAAGGACACCGGAGGCCCGGGAGGGAAAGATAACCCAGATCCCAGTGTCCCCTGATGAGCCTCTGGTTAAAATGCAACTAGGGGACAAAGATGAATTGGTAAATTTTCTCGTTGATACAGGTGCTGCCCATTCTGTCTTAACTCAAAAACTGAAACCTTTAAGTAAAAAGGCTGCGCCGGTGGTAGGGATTACAGGGAAGGCAGTAACACGACCCTTTTTTACAGCCAATGACCTGTAATCTTGGGCAGACTGAAGTCACCCATCAATTTTTGTACATGCCAGACTGCCCTGTTCCCCTTTTAGGAAGAGACCTCCTCTGTAAATTGCATGCTACGTTGTCGTTCCAGGATGGGCAAATGTTTTTAACAGTGCCTTCTGAAAAGGGGTGGCATTTGCAGGCTTGCCTTCTCGGCCTTCTCCGAGAGGAAAGTACACCGGATATCCCTCAAACCCTGCTCGATGCTGTTGTTCCATGGGTATGGGCAGGTCATCGACCCGGAAAGGCTAAAATGCTGACCCTGTAAAGATTCAACTTTTGCCAGGGGCCCAGCCTCCATGTGTGAAACAATATCCAATGCGGATGGAAGCCAGGAAAGGAGTGAAGCTGTTAGTTGAACAGTTCCTGGAGTATGGCCTTCTCCGTGAATGCACATCAGCTTTTAACACACCCATCTTGCCTGTGAAGAAGCCTAAGAGTGATGAATATCATTTCGTC